AGGACATCTTTAATGGAGACCTTTTTTTTTTTCATTTCCTATGATAAATACATTAGTAAACATTTAAAGTAGATAAAAAATTTTCTAAGACAAGAATGGGTGTTGTTCTGTAGTTTTAAGACCACTTCAGATGTTGTCTACTATATATAGATTTTTTTATTAATTTATTGAAATTTCCATTGCTGTTCTCAATATTTAGATTTAGATAGATCATCATATTCCAGATTTCCTGAATTTTTAACAAAGCATAGCTCAAAAGACAGTGATGATGCATACATCTTCCCCCATGCCCACCCCCCAAAAATATACCCATATGCCTGGTTTTTGTGATCCACGGTAATACATTGTGTAAATGTTTTTTTTATTATTTTTATTTATAAATCACCTAAAGCAGGTATTGGAATGGCATGGTGTTTTTCTTCACTAATTGTGCTTTGACTCACTTGATAAAACATTTTGGTGTCTGTTTGAGCAGGAAGTTTGCCCCTCGCTGCTCAGTATGTGGTCAACCCATAATGCCAGAGCCTGGGCAAGAAGAGACGGTGAGGATCGTTGCACTGGATCGCAGTTTTCATGTTAACTGTTACGTATGTGAGGTAAGGATTTTTACACATGAGTTTATTTATTGTTGAAGTACATATATAGACCATATATCTGAAAATCTGAAAGTAGTTTATGTGTTTTTACATGTGCAGCATGCATGTGTACCTTTGACAGAAAATCTTCGTCTTAATAAGGGATATTAATAAATCTGCTTTTTGTTTAACTTTATTAAATATTTTCCGAAATAGATTTAATTAAGATGCTGCAGCACCCTATTTTCCATACTTTACACTTGATTGTCTTTCACTGTAAATGAGTTTTTAAAATTGTAATGTTTAATTAAATATGCAAATGTAGTGAAATATGAACTGAATTACTAAAATCTAAAGTTTCAATAAAGCCAGATTCTAAATGTATTATTTTTATTTAGTTTGTTTATTTATGACAATTAGACATTTTTAGTATGGGGAGTTTAGATGTCTCTCTTTATCTTTCAGTATTTTAGAGAATACCTTCAATAGTCAGGGAAAAAAATCAATATTCATCATGTTTTAGGCATAAATTATTACTATATTTCAGACAATTATTATCTAAACACACTGCTCTGTAAACATATGTATTGTAATTGAAATCTACAGACTTACATAGATAAGGCATAATTTAATATATTCATTTAAATGTGTAAGAACACTCTACATTTAGGGTCATGAAGTTGTGTTTAATAGCACATAGACCAGGGGTCACCAACCTTTTGGACACTGAGAGCTACTTCTTGGGTACCGATTAGTGTGAAGGGCTACCAGTTATCAAATAACACATTTTTCTTAATTTACTTTTCATTATATGTTATTATTAATAATTAATAATATTCATCTGTGTGAAGACATTGATCATGTTAATGATTTCTCACAGTAGTTGTCAACAATGATTAATATATACAAGTTAGAAAATAATATATTAAGTTAGATAAATATCAACATGCAACACTTCATTTGTCTATAATTGTTTTTAAAGTTTTTTTAAATATATAACTTAAAGTAGTTTTCAAGTTTACACCAATGCAAGTGTTATTTAAAAAGAATATTTATAAAAATATTAGATGCAGCTTACTCATATGTGGTGCTATGGTGAGCTATTTTTAGAACAGGCCCGCGGGCAACTCATGTGAACCTGGCGGGCTACCTGGTGCCCACAGGCACCATGTTGGTGACCCCTGACATAGACTATGGATGTGAGTTGAGAATTCTGGTAAAGTAGAAATTGGGAAATATTGTAGGTTTAATTGGAAAAAATGATTGCTGTCTTATTTCTGTTAAAAGTTGTCTGAGTTTTGATTACTTATGTTTGACCTTTGTTGAATTAGGCTAAGATTGTGTTCAACCCCTAAAAAAGTGGGAACAAGAAAAGGATTTTCAATCCCTCTTCTTGCATGATAATGAATTGGAATTAATAGTTTTGTAAAAAAAAAAAAACACTAGATCTATCTTGGTATTTAGGTAACAAGTTATATCAATATTTCATCTCTGTGAGGTGACTGAGGGCGTACTCACACTATGTACATTTGCCTTGAACCGGTCCAAAGCACACTTGTCCTTCTGACGGCCCGCACTCGCATTACATTCAGGCCTGAGCTTGCTTACGCCATTGATGATGCGCTGTTTAGTAAGCTCTTTCACTATGCACAGTGGAGATTTCTTTAATTATATTGTTTTACAGTTGTTTGGGATGCAGTGACACAGACAAATATTTCGCCGAACAGATCGGCCACTATTGAAGCTGTTGGCAGTGAGGTGTTTGCGTCTTTAAAAAAACTACGACAGTTTGCAATCGTTGAACAGTAATAATAAATCCATATGACACAGTCCCGTAAACGTCACGTCTCGACTTCAGTTTTAGGCTCAGGCATGCTTTGTACTCGCACTACAAGCGTACCGTGCCAAAGCCCAATTGAACAGCACTCTGGCACAACTCTTCCAACCAGACCAGGGCCGGCCAAGTGAACCATGCCTGGGCCTGATTCAGAGCACTTACACTTCTCAAACAATCCGGGAAACGGGCCTGAGCACGGTGTGGATAGCAAAGTGTGAGTATGCCCTGAGAGTCTGGCGCATGTCAGGAGTGCAATAACAGTGTTTATTCATTTAGCCCAGCTTCCAGAGAATGAATTTGATTTTAGCTTTGTTTACTGTGAAGTTGCATTTGGCTTATTGTAGCCAAGATAGGATGCTTGCACACTTTCTGTTCGGAACACACTGGAATGTGTTGCATCAGTACAATTAAGTCATTATTTAAATGAAGTTATTTTGTTAGTAGACTTGACTACTATGAAGTTCAGAAAGGTGGTAATGAAACATTGCGTTTAAGAAATAGGAGATTGCAAAAATGCTTTTGTTAAAACATCTTAAAATACTAATGTGGTACAATATGATGCAGTTATTTAAGAGTACAATTGTTGTTTTGAGATTGTAAGCAAAGTGGCCTATGAACTGCTTTGTGAGTGTTGAAGCTGGCCTCTGCTGATGAAGCTGCAAACCATCTTCAGTAAACTTTCCTTTTAATTGAATCTCTGACTCCAGCTCTTCTACATCAGACAGACTAGTCATTTTGGGTTCAAACTGTAAATTTCCCTCACACTACATTCCAAAACTGACCAATGTCTGAAAACAGTCAATTTTGCTTTAATTGAGTTACAATAAGAACACACTATATGGCTGTTACTATCAAAAAAAGCTATTTTTGCACTGCAGTATCTGCAACTGAAGTGGCCTTTAGAATAATTTCCACCGTGCAGCTCATAGGTGCCATAACAACACACACCAAAATATAGATCAAACATCCAAAGCATAAGATGGCCTCTTATAAAATAAATGTTCTTAAAGGCTGCATGTTGTGTTGTAGGAATGTGGTCTCCTGCTGTCTTCAGAGGGCGAGGGCAGAGGCTGTTACCCCCTGGATGGACACATTCTCTGCAAGAGCTGCAGTGCTCACCGCATCCAAGATCTTTCTGCCAAAATCTCCACTGACTGCTAACACCCCATCCTGTCTCCCTGTCTGAGCCCTTACTATCCTTCAAGGTTACTTTTCAGAATGTACCGCTATCTAAACATCCACCACCTGCTGTTTCTCACGCACTAAACAACCACTGCACAAACAATATGAAGACGTCCCTCTCAGGGTAGCATAGAGCCAAACAAAACTGCTCTAGTGCTTAGATTAGTTTCACTGGAAAACCGTTTTTTTTTAATAGGATAGAAAAACAGGTGGTGAATGAAATATGATGGTGTTTTATGTATATATACAAAATGTGAGACTTGTGAATAGTGCATTTCTACCTTCACTGTGTTTTTACAACCCTCAACCAACATGGAGAAATAGAAACTTCACACTTTTCCTTAAACAATGCCCCAATTCTGCTGGCAGTTGGGGTCAATTTGTCCCCCATCGAGATGCTGATTTTATGTCACAGATGTCCATTAGTCCTTGCCAGAATGTGAGGTTTTTCTCCTGTGACCCTCAACGCAAATCTGATGCTTAATATTTTAATACTTGAAATCATGATTGTTGAAGGATATGATCACTGCGTTTTATTTACTGACTTGATATTTCTCCATTATCGTTATAATCATCATAATTCTAGTGATAATTGTGGTAAAAAGGTGAAAAAGTTAACCACGGGCAGCTGTTTTCCCTCCAGACAGTCACTAGCTTTAGGTTTACGCTGATTTCTGTGCTGTTACAAGATGTAGATAAGGATAAAGGGTCAGTGTGTATCATAGCCGCAGTGAAGGAAATCTTTGTTCAGGATTTGTATTGGATGTGAGTTTTCTGCTATTCTTAGCGGTTTTGTTTTGGCAGGAGAATGGATGATTCTGCGAATAGTGAGTGATTAGAGAGGAATCTATTAGGTTAGATGAATGACGAATGTATTGCTCATAAACTTAGTCACAGTTTTGCTACTAAATATATGGTGATTAATGACTAACCGAGGATATTTGGACAAGTATGAAGGTTATAAGAAAGTAAAGTATAGAGATTTGATGAGATTGTTACTGGCTGGCTTTATTTTTTTACACCTCTTTTTTGTGTCAAAGTGCATTTTTAATGGTCTGTTATTTGAACGCGCGATCGCAGGCATCCATTACTTTAAAACAAGGTTTCAAATAAGGTGTTGATTGTTTGAAGCGGAATAATGAAACGCTAGTGTTTGCACTGACGAGTAGTTACAATTATCTAGAAACTAAAAGCGTAAAGTGGTACAGATGGCTGCATGCTTTATTTATTAATTTGTCTGGATTTTTTTGTAAGTTTGTCCCAACATAGCATCCATCTGATTGATTTGCTGCCAAAAGAAAACTTTTTGCTAAACCTGTCATCATTGTAGATGATTGTTGATTGCTAAAGTGCCCCTGCTACTGCACGGTTTGTTTTAACGCCTGATGTGCTTTTATTTTTCAGTGTTTTTTTTTTTTTTTTTGTAGGGGTTGGGGTGAGTTTTCTTTTTGGTTTTTTATTGACATTGATTGTAGGGACAAAAAGATCAGCTTCATAAATTCATCTGTTTGTACTGCAGCTGTGCATTGGTTTTTAAGTTTGTACTGAGCGTTGTTATTGAGTTTTTGATTTTATGGTCTGTGAAGAAAACAAACATAATGTTTTGGAGTTCTCTCCTCGTACCTCGCTTATGTCTCCTCAGTCAAACACCTAATTCAGATCATCAGCTCATTAGCAGAGACTGAAAGACCTGTAATGGATGTGACAGACAAAGGAGACATCCGAACCATGCCGTGTTTGTGGTCCTCCAAAAACGTGATCTGATCAAAGATGATTTGACAGATCCTGAATCTTTTAACCTTATAACTGATCTCTGGCTTATTTGGTTCTTCAAACAAGTTTGCAAATTAGATTAAAATGTCTGGATGAACTGATCTGAGATGTCTGCGTGTGTTGTGAAGGACTGATCTATTAATCCTCGAAATTATGATCAGCAATGCAACGATTGGTTGACGGCACAGCAGCGTAATAAGATCATCTTATTAATATTCAATTACCCATATTAGCAAAATTACATTAAATTCGTAGTAAACGATTTCTTAAATATGATACGCTGTGACTTATGGGCTGTCAAGAGTATTCAGCAATTTATTTAGTTTTACATTTTGAGCGTTTTTAAATTTTTTATTATAGTTGGCCTATTCAAGTATTAAGGAATAAATGGCTGTTTAACCTAATTCTGCATCAAAAAAGCATTTTGATATTGGTAAAGGTGTCTGCATCTTTTGCGAAGCATCAAATCACCGGCATATTAGCTGTCAAAACAATGACTGCATAAATTATTATTCCTTTAAAAAAAATGAAAACAGTTTAATATTTTGCATGTCTATTATCATACACAAATTTGACTAAAGCTGGTACTAGGGATGCTCCGATCAGGATTTTTGCAGCCGATACAGAGTACTGATTCCTTGTCATGGTGATCGGTCGATACCGAGTACAGATTCTAATGCTTCAAGCTTTATTATGCATAAAGCACATTTTCAGTCCAAGTATGATACTTTGGTTGAGATCTTGCCTTACCTCAGAGAATAAATTACAGATGCTGCATTTAATTCCTGAAACATGTCACTTATAACCATTTACATGTGTGGACATGTCATGGTCTGAAGCAACTTTATAGAACAAAATAGATAAAACTAATAAAGCAATTTGGAAACCTTGCAAATCATGAAAGAGGAATTCAAAATGTCTCAATGAAATTTGGAATAAACTACTACATATTACAATATGTATATTACAATAAGTTATATTATTAAATATTCAAGTTAAACAATCCACCCCCCCTAATATTTCTAGACAAAATTTAATGTACTTGCAATATTGTTGAAAACACAGAACATTCAGTTTTGATATGTAAAAAGATTTTAGTTCTTCAGTTCTACTCATAAACAAACAATTGTGATCGGTTAATGAGATCGGCCAGATTAGCGAGTACCAATGGAGTCATGAAATGTGATTATAACCAATATCGATTTCTGGCTAATCAATTGGAGCATCCCTAGCTGGTACCTTAAAATAGTAGATAGCGTTTGTATCTAAAAAGTTTATATTAATAAATGTTCTCTTTGAAGCCCTTGGGGAGAACGACCCTGTGACAGTCTTTTTAGGCTCTACTATTATTTATGCAGATTGCACAAGGTTTATTTATATATTTTTAAAACTATAAATATATATTTTTCAACTGTGTGTGTGTGTGTGTGTGTATATTAACTATTTACTATTTTCCCAAGTGTAAATAACTACTACTGTAAGAAAATATCAGCATTCGGTACATATTAAATATGTACTACCTTTGAAAAGACCAAATCTAATCCTGTTTATGTAAGATAAGCCTGCTCCCGAGCATGTTTGAGCAATGAGTTTTAAAGAACGAAACAATACTTATAAAGGAGGTCGTACACCGGTTGCGCAAAACAGCGCCTTGCATTTTATAATTCTAAACATAGGTTTCTACACAGGCAGCGACAACTCAAGACACTGTTCTTTCTGCCGTGCCACAGAGCGCCATCTGAATAGTTTCATTTTAAAGTAACATGCGAATATGCGCGTCTGGTGTGTGATATTTTCAATTGTCACGAGCGGCGCATATGGTATGCGACTCGCTTAGGACAGTGTAATGTTTAGCAATGCCAAGGTTGTGATTTTAAGCCTCACCTGGGGTCCGTTCTTCGTACGTGGATTACACAGATAGCTGGATTTGGTTATTTACTATTTGACATGATCCAGAATTGTTTCGTTCTTCAAAACTCATCCAAGATGTTGTTGACATAGCAACAGTTCTGGTAGCTCAAACCTGCTCGGGAGCAGGCTTATTTTATGTAAACAGGATTAGATCGGCTCTTATCAAGCAAAGGTAATAGTGGAAGCATGTACCGAATTCTGATATATTTGTACAGTAGTAGTTATATACACTTGGGAAAATAATAAATAGTTAAATAAATATTTTTTTATTTAAAAGTTTAAAAATGTATATAAATAAAACTGATGCAATCTGCACTCTGAAATAAAAGTATAAAGCTGTCATGGGGTTATTCTCCCCATAAGGTTTAAAGAAAACTTTTATAAATATAGATTTTTTACGCATACTATTTTAAGATTTTAATCCAGCTTTAGTAGAATTTGTTTTTGATAATAAACATGCACAATATTAGACTTTTTTTTTTAGATTCACATGTTTTGTTAGCTAATATGACGGTGATTTGATGCTTGGCAAAAGTTTCAGACACCCTTACCGATATCAAATTATCCAGAGATCAGTTATTAAGATTAAAAGGTCCAGAATCTGTCAAATCATCTCAGATCATTTAAGCAAGGTACGAAGAACGGACTGCTAGTGATTGTATTGAGCCAATCAGACATGAACACACATTCCCTGATCACACTTTATTACATGACTAGAAATCTAGTGATGACAAAACCTCTATATATAAACTTCATCAAACTTGAACTTGATAAATACACTTGCAATGAGCCTAATGACACGATAATATCTAGTATACAGTGCATATATGTTCATTCAATACTAGTCAAAAAGAGATGGACACTCTTTGTACTGGAATAGTATTACAGGTGCCACTATGTGCGCTGGTGAATTTTTAATTGTTAAATACAGATACTATAAGACAAAATGAGGAACATATATATAAATCCTAATCCATCATGTATAGGAAGCTAAACGACCTTCAAAAGCATCCTCTAATACAGTGTTTCTTAACCACGTTCCTGGTGGACCACCAGCACTGCATGTTTTACATGTCGCCTTTATCTGTCACAAGGTGTTTCAGTTACAGGTCTTTCAGTTTCTGCTAATAAGCTGATGATCTGAGTCAGGTGTGTTTGGTTAAGGAGACCTGGAAAATGTGCAGTGATAGTGGTCCTCCAGGAATGTGGTTAAGAAACACTGCTCTAATATTAATGCCAATACAGATATTCTTGTTGAACGATTAAAGCAATTGTCAAAAATGAAAATTCTGTCATTATTTTATCATTCAAACCTATTTGAGTTTCTTTCTTCTGTTGGACACAAGAGAAGATATTTGGAAAATGTTGGAAATGGGTAACTGTTGACTTTCAAAGAAGATGGAAGTCAATGGTTACCGCTTTCCAACTTGCTTAAAAATATCTACTTTTTGTGTTCAACAGAAACTTCATTTGAGGGTCAGTAAATGGTGAGTAAATTTAAATTTTTGGGTGATCTATCCTATTCAGATGTTGAATTAACAGGACGTGAAGGTCTTCCAGTAGAAATTTCGGCAGCCTGCTTTCCGCTCTCGCTGGGAGACTGGAATCTGGCGAACCACTTCATTGCGAACGTCCAGTTCATCAATGCTGTCAAGAGCATCTTTCTCTTCAGGAGTCACCGATTCAGAGAGCTGCTTCAGGAGGAGGAGACGAGAGAGATCCTGAAGCTGGAAACAGAAAACAATGAAGGTGTAGCTTGCTTTACTTATTTTTGCAGATTAGCATCAAAGCTTAACTGTGATCTGGGAAAAATATACATGTTCATTTCCGGTCAGAAGTTTAGGGTCAGTAAGATTTTTAAATGTTTTAAAATAAGGTTCTCCTGCTCTCCAAGGCTGCATTTATTTTTGCAAAAATACAGTACAAAAAGTACAATTGAGAAATGTTTTGCACAATAAAAGAACTGTTCAAAAGTAGTTTATCACTTAATTTAATCATTTATTGCAGTGATTTTAATGATGAATTTTCAGCTTCATTACAGCAGTCTTCAGAGTCACATGACCCTTCAGAAATTACTCTGTTTATTATCATTATTGTTATTATTATTATTGTTATTATTATTATTATTATTATTAATGGTAATAGTAATAAAAGCAATTATGACTGGAGTAATAATTTCATTTGAAGCTAGATACAATAAGAAAGCTAATTAATTAAATTAATTTTAATTAATTAAAGTTATTTAAAATTTTAATAAATATTAAACTATTGTTTTACATTTAATTAATGCCGCATTGATGAACTTTCAAAATTTATAAAATATAATGACAAAATAAATAATTTTTTTAAAGAAAAAAAACACGATAAAAAAATTGACCCCAAACTTTTGGCCGACACTGTATATTGTTAGTAAGTTTTACAAAAACTATTTTATTTAATATAATAACAGCTGTAGGTTTCTTTAAGTGTGGTATTTGCATCCAATAGTAAATGTATTTCCAAATACAGTGACTGAAATACTGTCAGTCAAACTGCATATTAAACTTGATCCAACCAATTTGGAAAAGATCATCAGTTTTGTGAGATTTTCCACTTTCTTTTGGTATTTATTTACAAACAGTTTCTTTATTATTATTTTTTCAAATGAATATGTAAACATCAAAAAAACTAAGCATATGAAATATGAGCACATTGCATCAATAAAAAGGTTCATAATACTATGTAAGTGGTCATATAAACATGCAATTACTAATCTTAGGAAATAGTACAAAGACTAAAATATTATTGATATTTTAATAAAATTATTTTAATTAAATTATTAAGTATTTGTTTACCTAGTAAATATTTTAGAGTAGTAGTTTTGTACATTTCATAAATAAGCACCAAGGATTGACAAGCAAAACATTACATTAAAAATGAAAAATGGTGCCAATATTTTTTCGAAACTTTTCAAGGACATCAACTTCATGTAAATCTAACCTAACAATATATATATATATATATATATATATATATATATATATATATATATATATATATATATATATATATATATATATATATATATATATATATATATATATATAATGTACAGTACTCAGCGTATACAAGTACACCCCTCAAACCTTTTATGTTAATATTTTTTAATAGGAAGCTATACAATATTATGTGTGCATGTACATAAAATTAGTCCATGCTAAAGCCAAATCTGGAGCTTATCTAACAAAATAACTTACGACAATGATCCAAAAACGTATACAGCCAAATTTGTTAAAGAAAAATATTACATATAAATTTTAAAAAAAGAGGAAAAATCAAGAGAAGCAAAAAAAAGAAAACATTTGTTGAAATTTTGTAGGTTGTAATAGTTTTTATTTTGCAATATTTTGCTTAAATTTAATTGTATTGTTTTTTAATTTCTAAATATGTTTGGTGGCTAAAATATTATTTTAATAAATATATCTGTTTAATAAATAGTTTTTTGTTTTAAATGCACCAAAATACATTGCCTATATTCACTGAGAAATGGAGAAAAATACTAATTTTTAAAATGGGATGGACTCAATTATGCCAAGCACTGTATAGGCAACAAAATGTAAATTAAAAAAAAAATTTTCCCGAATGTTTGATGTTAAATGAACTAAAATAATATTTACTTCAAGAATGTAAAACCCTCTTTTTTCTACAAAAATGTTCCAATAGAGTTTGTACCATTTTAGTTTAGTTTGTAACATTTTAATATCCCAAGGCAGATTTTTCCACTATAAAGAACCTTTTGTGCACTGGAAAGATTCTGAGAATGTTAAAAGTTTTTATTTTGTGGAACCATTAACACTAATAAAAAAACCTTTATTTTCAAGAGTTAACTTAATAAAAAATTATGAATAATACCTCATTCTCCTTGGGGTCCACTTGTGAGCGTAACAGCTGGAACAGCAGGTCTCCTCTGGGTGCTGAACTGACTCTGCACAGCAGCAAAGAGACCCACAGAGTCACAACCACCACCTGTAACCTGGAGAACATCCTTTCAGCTCTGCAAAACACTGGCGTTTGAAGTGATGTGGGCATGACAGGCTTTTATAAGCACCAATTTTGGCATCCTGGGGTCGACTGGCGAAAATGGAGGCAATGGAGGTGGTCGTGTCGCTGTGTGGGTGTAGAAGGGCAAAGGCTGAGGAGACATTTTGTTGATCCGGGACTCAGTAGGAAAGGCGTTTGATAAGGTCAACCCAAAGGTGTTACTTCTTCAGCAGAAGCCTTATCAATTCTGTCTCATTTCCAATAATAGGCTACGTTGGGTAAAATGGATCAGTTGGAACAGGACTGTCTTCGTGTTTGACGGGAGAAAGTGTTATTAATTAAGTGTGGGGGGCTAATGAACTGTTAGGGTGTTCATTATCGAAGGGTGATGATCGCATTGTGCACTAGTGGGCCTTCAGGTGTCACTTGCAATTTGGAGAAAACGAGTTTTTGTGTCTTGCTCTCTCTATGAGGCCCTCGTTAGGATGAGGAATTAATGATGCGAAGTGACTCAAATGTTAATTGGTCAGCTTAGTCATTAGTTCACACCGTCCTCCATCTCCGTAGATACGCACATGAGAAAATAGTACAGTAATTTATAGTAAATAATACAATAGCGTTTCTGAACCATACTTTAGTATTAAACACTATGTATCATAGTGTTTACAACTCTTTGTTGCTATAGCATATACTGTAGTATCACCTAGTGAGCAGATACCGATAAATACTGTAGTATACAGTGCATCTGGAAAGTACTATAGTGCTTCACTTTTTCCACATTTTTTTATGTTACAGCCTTCTTCCAAAATGGATAAAATTCATTTATTTCTTCAGAATTTCACACACAATATCCCATAATGACAATGTGATTTTTTTTTTCCAAATTGTTGCAAATTTATTAATAGTAAAAACCTGAAAAATCACATGTGCATAAGTATTCACACCCTTTGCTGTGAAGCTCTAAATGGAGCTCAGGTACATTCTGTTTCACCTGATCATTCTTGAGATGCTTCAGCAGCTTAATTGGAGTTCACCTGTGGTAAATCCAGTTGATTGGACATGATTTAAAAAAAGCATACTGTCTATATAAGGTCCCAGGGTTGACAGTGCATGTCAAAGCACCAACCAAGCATGAAGACAAAGGAATTCACTGTAGACCTCCGAGACAGGATTGTCTTGAGGCACAAGGCTGGAGAAGGTTACAGAAAAATTTCTGCTGCTCTAAAAGTTCCAACGAGCAAAGTGGTCTCCACCATCTGTAAGTGGAAGATGTTTGGAATCACCAGGACTCTTCCTAGAGCTGGCCGGCCATCTAAGCTGAGTGATCAGGGGGGAAAGGGCCTTAGGGAGGTGATCAATAGCCCAATGGTCACTCTGTCTGAGCTTCAGCGTTCTTCTGTGGAGAGAGGAGAACCTTACAGAGGGACAACCATCTGTGCAGCAATCCACCAATCAGACATGGATGGTAGTGTGGCCAGATGGAAGCCACTGCTCGTCTGGAATTTGCCAAAATGCATCTGTAGGACTCTCAGACCATAAGAATCAAAATTCTCTGGTCTGATGAGTCTAAAATTGAACTCTTTGGAGAGAACTAGACTCCGCTCATTCATTCATTTTCTTGTCGGCTTAGTCCCTTTATTAATCCGAGGTCGCCACAGCGGAATGAACCGCCAACTTATCCAGCAAATTTCTTTTTTACGCAGCGGATGCCCTTCCAGCCGCAACCCATATCTGGGAAACATCCTCACATACATTCACACACACACTTATACACTATGGACAATTTAGCCTTCCCAGTTCACCTGTACCGCATGTCTTTGGACTGTGGGGGAAACCGGAGCACCCGAAGGAAACCCACGCGATGGCAGGGAGAACATGCAAACTCCACACAGAAACAGCAACTGAGCTGAGGTTCGACCCAGCGACCTTCTTGCTGTGAGGCGACAGCACTACCTACTGCGCCACTGCCTCGTCCGACTCCGCTCATCACCAGGCTAATACCATCCTGATACCATGGTAATGTTTTTCAACAGCAGGAACTAGAAGACTGATCAGGGTAGAGGGGAAAATGAATGCAGCAATGTACAGAGACATCCTGAATGAAAACCTGCTTCATAGTGCTCTTGACCTCAGACTGGGGCGACGGTTCTTCTTCCAGCAGGACAATGACCCAAAACGCACCGCCAAAATATCAATGGAGTGGCTTCACAACAACTCGGTGAATGTCCTTGAGTGGCCCAGCCAGAACCCAGACCCAGACATCTCTGGAGAGATCTAAAATGGCTGTACACTGTCACTTACCATCCAACTTGATAGAGCTGGAGAGGTACTGCAAAAATGAACGGACAAAAATTTCCAAAGACAGGTGTGCCAAGCTTGTGGCATCATATTCAAAAAGACTTAATTGCTGTAATTGCTGCCAAAGGTGCATCAACAAAGTATTGAGCAAAGGCTGTGAATGCTGATGTTTACTATTTACTACATGTAAATACTACATGTGCTACTTTACTACATAGTAATGTAGTATTTACTACATTATGTAAATACTACATGTACTACTTGTAAGATTTCAGGTTTTATTTTTAATAAATTTGCAACAATTTCAAAAACATGGGGTATTGTGTGTAGAATTTGAGGAAATAAATTAATTTAATCCATTTTGGAATAAGACTGTAACATAAAAAAATGTGGAAAAAATCAGGCGCTATGAATACTTTCCGGATGCAACATATCTTATGCTGTATATACAACTCTCCATACTGTAGTAGTCCAACTATAGTGAGCTGAGGAATGCTAATAAATATTGTTGTGTAATTTGTTTTTTTACTACAGTAAACTCTGGTGTGTTGTAGAGTAATATACTGTAGTTAAAGAGAACATTATTGAATAGTCTACTAAAGTTATATTAATACCAAAACAGACACTTTAGTATGGTTGAAAACATTACACCTAATAATTAATTGTGTTTCTTCATGCGGCTGTAAATTTATTCAGATTTGTACTATATGTAAGTCTTGCGTATCTGATCTTATGTGATGTTCTGATATTAGACCTGTGCATCTGATGTTATTTTAATGCTCATAAACCAGGACATTGAGATCTCCGAGGGCAATTACTTAGACTTGGTGTACTCAATGGGTGGCCATTAACATTTAGAAGGTAGAGGTGGGCACAGCAGCGCTATGGTCATCACGCTGGGCACGTAAATGAGAACCAGCTCTTCCTTGATTTAATATGCATGAAATGAGAAAGTGTTACATTTATAGTTAGTTTACAGATTTTTTTGTGGAAGATGACTCTTTCCTTTTGTTTCTTTTATAATATTAGAGTGGCAAACAATCTGATGTTTTCTTAGTCATGCTGGAAAGAGATAAATAAATGTAGTTCTACTGTATTTATTTATTTGTCTATTCATAATGTACTGTTGCTTTTACGTGTTATTGTTTTATTTATTCATTCATTTACTTGTTTATTCTTTCTTTTTTTACATAAATATTGATTTTATACTTTTGTATACATATACAAATACTCTTACTGTTAGAAATCAATTTACAGCCCATTTTCAGCTATTTAAACACCTTCTTGCAATATCTAACCTTGTGCGGACATTCATTGACAAAACATAACCTTAATCCAGTTGTAATCTTAAACCTAAAATCAATTCTTTACCATCAAACAGCCCTTTAAATAAATATCAGAAAATAAATAATGTATATTCAATAAAAAATATTTAATTAGATTAATAATATTTTTGCATAGACATAAAAGTTATTATAAACTTTTACTTTTTTAACTTTACCACTTGGATCCTTTCATTTTCTTTTCGGCTTAGTCCCTTTATTAATCTGGGGTCACCACAGCGGAATAAACTGCCAACTTATCCAGCATACAGTTAAAGTCAGAATTATTAGCCTCCTTTTATATTATGATATTTCCCAAATGATGTTTAATAGAGCAAGGACATTTTCACAGTATCTCTGATAATGTTTTTTTCTTCTGGAGAAAGTCTTATTTGTTTTATTTCAGCTAGAATAAGAGCAGTTTTTAATGTTTTAAAAACCATTTTAAAGTCAAAATTATTAGCCCCTTTAAGCTATATTTTTCCATAGTCTACAGAACAAACCATTATTATCCAATAACTTGTCTACTTATCCTAACCTCTAATTAACCTAATTAAGCTACTTAAGCCTTTATAATGGCTTATTGTGTTCTCTCAGTTAAACAAATTGGAGAAAAACTCATTCAGGGTGGCTAATAATTCTGACTTCAACTGTAAATGTAATATTATGAATAATAACTGGTCTACGAGGAGTTTACACACGGTGAAATAATGTTAAGCATTTGTTCGGTCATTCATTCATTCACTTGTTTGTACATTCACTCATTTTATTAAACTGGGTTAAAAAACTATTTCAAGACTGACCTGGCCAAGATATGCAAAACATAACTTTAAATTTAAATACGAAGAAAGACTTAACACAACATGACTTTTTTATTTTATTTAATTTTTTTATTAACAACAAATACAGAATCATACAGTAATATATAAAAAAATATATGCCAGAGTGTACATAAAACATTCTGTATGTACAGAAAATACATAAAAATCATATATTTCTTAAGAATATTACAAGTCTTCTTTGCTTTTTAATTAACGATGTTCTCCAAAGTTGTGCAATAGTCTCTTAAAGGAAATTAACAATATTGGCTTTGATCCAGTTCATTTTTTTGTGTGTATGAAACTTCTCCTAAGTAATTAAAGCTGTGCTAGGATGGTAAATTTGTTGCCTGTATTGACATAATAAATGCGAATATTAAAATTTTATAACTTGTTTTATAATATTTTACAATATTTGTTTTCCTTCTAAGAAAAATTTCCACATCCACCCAGAAAAGCCCTGTATATATACAATCAAACATTTGGACAATAGAGTTTTTTTTCCATGCAACAAAAATCACAGGAATAGTCAATATCCTAATTTAATCTCTCTAAACCAGAGATGCCCAAACTAGGGCCCGCGGGCCAAAGTTGACCCATTCTATCTTTTAATTTGGCCCACCGTCCCATCTAAGAGGAGAGTGAGAATGATGAAGAGGGTTGGGGCCAATGCTTTTAACACAGAGATCATCATTTCTAATTTGATGTCATTTGTGTGTTTTATTGCACGGCTACAAAAAAGCAAACTCAAATTAAATGTTTCCATTAAATGTTGTAAATTAATCAGATTTTTTACGGTATTGGATAAAGGACTAGGCAGCAGACATCGGCGAGCAAATCAAGGCAAAAACTAGTGTAATTCTGTTA